CTATCTCCAATAAACCACCAGAAAACAGGAAGTGGCGCTGTAGCTCAAGTGGTAGAGCGCTCGCCTAGAGCTGAAGAACTGAGGGACAGCGCCCAGGCCCAGAGTTCAAGCCCCATGACTGCCAAAAAAAAAAAAAAAAAGAATTCTGAATTCAAAACTCAACTTGACATGAAATACATCGTAATTTTAAGGTGGTCTGAATTCTTGGAAAATATCTAATTGGCCTCAAGAACACAAAGTCAGATCAAAGGCCCTGGGTAGCATATTAATCTGTGGCAGTAAATTTGATTCAACTGAACCTCTCAGGACATAAGTAGGTAGGCAGCTTGGTTTATTGGCTATATGATAGTCTTTCAATTTTAGCCAGAAAAAAAAATAGTGGCTCTATATTAAAACAGAGGAAATTGCAGAACAGTGAGGAAGAATAATTTGCCAAAGACTGCATAGTGCAATCATGCAGTCTTTGGCTCACAAAGGAACTTTGGCCCACAAATAACTACGTTACAAATGACACGTGTCAACCTTCCAGCTAATGAAAGCCTAAGGAATTCCCACTTCTCCCTCTAGCTTTCCATGTAATAGAGCTCCAGAAGTAAACTATCCTATATAAGAATGGATGAGGAATCAAAAGGCATTCCATTTACTTCATATTATGCAAAATGGTATTGCCCTGCCAACAAAAATGATCATGAAAAATGCACATCTGGAATTATATCTATGTGGAAATTTATTGGGAATTATGAATGCTTTTCATGATCATTCATCTGAGCTGCATAAGAGCTATACCAACTCTGCTGAGCAAATGCAACATCTAAGAGCTCATCAGAAAACAGTGTGCCATAAATAAGTTAAGGCACTGTCCCAAATCATAAAGCAAAACTGCCTTTGAATGAGCAAAGTGCATTCATAGTACACATTTTAAATGCTCAGCAGTTCTCAAATATTGAGTGTAACAGATAAGCCCATTTTAATAATTTAAAACAGATTTTACACTGATGGCATATTGATTTATCCTTGATACACAAACTTCTCGTGGAGTTCATTAAACCATCTCAAAACAGCCTAACAAATGGAATCTCCATTACGATCTGTTACCGCTGAAGAGCATGATGTCTTATTTCCTTGAAAGTTTTCAGCTGATTTCCTCCCCTCTCATAAAAAATGATATCATAGAAGGCTGAGCAAAGAAACGAGTGCTTCTGAAAGAGTCGTTATTGCCAGAGCATTTCATTAAGGGACATCTTTCTTTAAGTAAGCGATGCCTTTTAAGTAAGTGCCGCTGCGCTGCTGCTAACCTCTAAGCCATGTGGACTTGTCCCCAGCCTGTATGTTATCTTGTTTCTACAGAATGTTATTGTAACCGTTTTGGCTCAATCCATGATCGTTGTAATGGCTCAGGATTTTGTGAGTGTAAGACTGGAACTACAGGGCCTAAGTGTGATGAGTGTCTGCCGGGAAATTCCTGGCACCACGGCTGTCAACGTAAGTAACTCCGGGAGCCGCCCTCTGCCTGCTGAGCATGGCTGATTCTGCTTGTCTAGGCTGATGCGCGTGCAGCTTCTCAGAGCAGAAAAAGACCCAAACCGCTGACAAGCTTTAAGGGGGCTACTTTGTACCCCAGCCTGCATGGAGAAGAGTGATCCAATCGAGCTGGTTTCTCGGAAGCCCAAATTTCATCTCTCTCTGATGGCTGGTGCAACTTATACTGAAATATTGTATGGGGATGCGTGTACCTGGCCGGACCATAAATTAAATCACACAATAGGGATCCGTCTTGGAAATCCTCACCACAAAATGAAGGGTAATGTATATGGAGTCAATATATTTCTTGAACTCAAAGCTACCCTGAAGCTATAGAGTTCATAAATTAAATGATATCTACATACTTTATTTCCACCACTTGGCTATCAAAGCCATCACTGAATCTTAACCTGAAGGTAATAAATCTGAGGGATATTTAAATGCCAAGTGAACATAAATGACAAAGATCAATATTGATTTTTAAGCCTTTGAGGTTAGGTGTCACTCAGCAAGTAGGAGACAGATGCCATTTGGTTCAGCCTCATTTCTCTGGAGACCATGAGGGTCTTCCCAAAAGCCTGGCAAGGCAGGTAGCAGGTCAGTTTGTAAATGGAACAGAAATGTAAATGTTTCTGCCAGGAGCTTCCTCCTGTCATTCACAGCCTTCTCTGCCTTGTAATTCTGTACTTATTTTCCATTGCAACTGTTGGGAAGCTTCCAGAGATTAACTAAGCTCAAGGTGTCAGAGGGAATTCCAAAAGAAGATCGTGCAAGCTACATAGGTAATCTGGGATGCATTGTGATCTTCATAATAAGAAAATTGAAAACAAGACCCATCTTGGCATTGTTGTAGCTTCTTTTATTAGACACAAAATACAATGTGTATTATATTTTCCACGTATAATTAATATAATTAATATAAAAACTTTCTGGAAATGTATTTTCTACTTTCCATGATCTTTGAAAGAAGACTTTTGAGATTCATTTTCAGAGGTTTAAGGGTTTGGACCCAAGGCCTCACACTTGCTTGAGTCACACACTTACCTGATTTTGCTTTACTTATTTTTCATGTATGGCCTTGAATGTTTTGGCCTGGGCCAGCCAGGGCTGCAGCCCTTCTACTTCTCTCCCACATAGCTGAGATAACAATTGCATGCTGTCACACTCAGCTATTTTATTGAGATGAGGGGGAAATCTAATATTTTTTCCCAGAATCTCTACAAATTATTATCCTCCAAATCATCTCCTGAGTGGCTGGGATTGTAGGCATGGACCACTGCATTCAGCTCAAATGTGTGTGTCACATTTATAGATCATTCCAATTAAAACCAGCCTTATTACAAGACCTGGCAGCCACTTGTGTCTACCACATGATGGATTCAGCTCGCAATTCTTTTTTGTTTTATTTTCACTTGGAAAAAAAAGCCAACATGCAGGAACTGTCTAGAACCAACCCCTATAGAAAATTACATGCTATTTCTAGATCATAATAACTTCTACAGTGCATAAAATAAATTCCATATGATCGATTCTGCATAGAAAATTCTAGAAACTGAGAGACTACTTTCTTGGCTCCTTATGGAACTTATAGTTACCTGGCAGCTACATTTATACCCAATGTGAAGGCGATATGAAATGCTATGGGCAGCAGTGAAGGTTAGCGACAAGTGGAGATATTGGTCATTGAGTCAATCAAAATTATGGTGGGGTTCAAGATGTAGGAGCTGAGGTCTCTGGTCACACCGATGAGGACCTTCCAGACATAGTCTCATGAGCTTCAGTCATGGCCATACTTACCTAGGAGTTCTGGGAAAGACCCTGGCTTGGATATCCTGCTTGCTATAGGTTCACAGAAAGTACTGTTCCCTAAGAATGTGTCCCAGGAATCATATAAGGAGGCAGAACTCAGAGAGGAACTGTCAGTCCTAGAACAGCTGAATACTGAGGCCTTGAGTTTGTAATCAGTCTGAAGGAGAAAAGAGAGACAGAAAGATTGAAACTAACACTAAGACTTAAGGCATAAAGAATAAAGAGGCTGTTGATTAAGACACTATTCTCCAGCAGAAAGTCTATGTTGATCTCTTGCAGAGGGAGAATGGATCGGCTCTTGAAGTATAATCAGGGTAAGACTTGGGGGAAGAAATAAATCAATATTGTCATGGAGAAATGTAACCCAATCAGGGAATAGTTCGTTGTTTCTGTATGAGTTATTGGTGTATTAGAAAGAGTTGAAGTATCACCAAATGTTCCTTTCTGAAATCAGAAAATTAGTTTATGTCTGTGATGTACAAATCACAAATCCCTCTGTGCCTCAGCTATACCACTCCCAGTGCCAGTTATGTGCATTGCTAGGATGAAGGGAGTCAGCACATGGAGTATGTGCTAGACCTAGGCATTGGGCTCATGGCAGAGGCTAAAGATGAAAAGGTAATTGCTGCTATGGATATGTGGACATGGGGTTCAGCATCTTGAATGACACGCTGGGTTGGGATCCACCCAATTATGATAGAAAGAAATCAGAATTAAGAAGGATAAATGCACATACCTGTTTATTGGTGAAGCCTAAATTGGCTTGTGAATGAAGTACTGAAGGATGAGGAGGAGCTTCCCAAGATTAAAAATGGAAAAAAATGAGGAAAGGTGCATCAACTAACACACCAACCATACCTCAAAAACATGTAAGCCTTTTGATATGACTAGTCAGTAATCTGTGTTTTTGTGTGTGTGTGTGTGTGTGTGTGTGTATGTGTGTGTGGCAGAGGTGGGTGTGGTTGTTTGAATGGGGATGGTAAAGGAAGAGAGAATGTGAGGGATATTTAGATTGTATTTATATTTGCAACAATAAGAAGAGTTTAGAAAATGTTTATTAATCCATCACCTATCATAATACTGAGTCAGTTGATAGAGGCAACCTACCATGACACTCCTTTAGCTGCTGGATCATCCGTATTCTCCCAGCAATGTGGGTAGTGAGGAGCAGGGTATAATTAGACAATCATGTAGCATTGCCTGGGAAGGCCCATGGCAGATTTCAGGAAGTCTGGGAGATCCCTGGCCCAGGAATCCATTCCCAGCACCACCAACACCACCACCCCAGACTTAGAGAGGATCATGGAGCTGCCATCCAAATGGGACTGGGCTTCAGAAAAGAGAATAAAAGGATCTGGTTACTGCCGTGTTCTGTATCCTGTGAGTAGAGCACAGTGAGTGTTCTCTTTGGATGGGTTCTTAATTCCCACAGACCTGGGTTTGAATCCCACTTCTATACATTAGTACCTGTAACATTTAGAAGAAATTATTTGTCTTTTTTATGTAGAATGAAAGTGATGTTCTAGGGGCATAGCAAACCCTGATTTATTATTACTCAGGACTGTGCTCAAATTGTTTAACAAAAACCAAGAACCCAGGTTAAAAGTTTACCATAGAATATTATTGCAGAATGTGAATTAAGATTAGTAACTAGTGAAGTACCAGCTTATATATGTAGGGCTAAAAAGCCCATTGATTAGAAACAGTGCTGGGACAAAACACTGAAAAAGAGCTCACCCCAAAAATTTTAGCTATAGAAACTAACCACAGTGCTGGGTGCTGGCGGCTTATGCCAGTCGGTAATCCTAGCTGCTTAGGAAGTAGAGATCTAAAGATCATCACCTGAAGTCAGCCCAGGCAGAAACAACTATGAGACTCTTACTTCCAATTCTGTGCTCTGTAAATGTAAGCTAGTCTCTTTGACAGAAAAGGTGGAACACTTAATAATTACTAAACTAAATGGTTTTTACATGGGATAAAATAATCTCAGAAAGAAAACAGAAGTAAAACAAATTTCAAGTAGATCTGGCAGGATATAAATTAGTGCCAAAAGTTGCCCCCCCAAAAAAAGAATAAAACATTGAGAAAAAAAGATATTTTAAATGTGTGTTGTGAAGTCAGAGAAGAACAAAACTGAACCTTTTAAAATGGAAAACAGATTCCATGTTTCACATAAAATAAGAAGAGTTAATCCTTGTTATCAGAACTAAAAGGTATGGGTGTCGGTTTGTGATTTTCTTTTGAGTAGGACAGAAGTAGCCACTTGTAGAACAAATGAAGCCTGTGACAAGGTCTTCCTGGAGGACATTCCTAAGATACACTGGAAAAGCATGCATTTTTTGTGAAAAACCATCAATGGTTATTCATCTCTACCTAACTTGTGTGAATATTAGTGATATTTTCAGAACTCAGTCTGCATATCTAAAGCCACAAGATTTGGTGATATAAGGTAAATGCTATGACATTGGAATCAAACTATGACAATGACGGACTCATGGCAAGAAGGAGGCTGAAATGCAATTGCTAGAGGTGGTCTATAGTATCAGAATATAGGTTCTTAAGTGGGATCAGGACATGCACTGCCATCAGCAAGGAAATGATTGTTCAGTAGGAGGCTCAGTGGTCTGATTAATTAAGTCTATGAAGGCTTACTGGCAGAGTTTTCTGCAGGCTTCAGGAACAATGTGCTACCTTGACTCTTCTAACTTCTAGAGATATCTCACATTACTTTTCTCATGTTCTCTCTCCATCTTTCAAGAACTCTCCATTTCCCTGTGCCTTTACTTCATCAGCATATCTCTCCCGGATTACAGTGAGAAAAGAGTTTCACTGATTGCCCATGCTTGAGACCTACTCTAGAACTACACCATGTGATAGGCAATCCTGTAAGCTATGTCCTGGCTCCAGAATCACCACTATTAAAGACTCATGTGAACAGAAGAATCATCCATACAGAATTATCTCTGCATCTTAAATTCTTTACTCATACCTGTAGAAGACTACAGGTTCTGAGGAAGAAGGATATGGATATCTTTATTAGGGGACCCAGTTTTTACTACTTGCTATAATCATCATCAAGAATACCAACTTGATGATTATAGGGTATCATGGAGATGAAATGCAACTCATGCTTGGAATCCAGATATGCAAGG